AAATAAAAATTTCAATATAAGGTTTTTAAAAAATTGGGAGGGGACAGTGAGAGAGAGAAGGAAGAGAGTGGAGGGATGATGGAATCGAAATGTTTTTTTACATATTGTTTATGATATATATATATTATTATATATACTGAATTCCATATCTAAGATTGTGTTTCGCAAAAATAAATAAAAATGAAAAATAAAAATAAAACCGGTATTTCTGTGAGATATCGCCTTTAAGGCAAGCAGTCTTTGTAATTAAAGTGCAGAGTATCAAGAGACAGGACATTAAAATTAAATATTCAACTTATCTTTCCCTAATCGAAGTTCCTTGTGTATCTTTCCTTATTGAATTTTCCTCATCTAGCTTTCATATCCTTGCTGACTTCAATATTCAACCCAAAGAGTGGTAAGTCCATTCGAACTAAACTGATGAAGAAGGCAGATACTGTAGAAACTTCTTCGTCACCTCCGATATAACACAGATCATTAATGAACCCACCCGTGTTTTTGATTCGACAGAATATCAGTCGAACCTCCTTGACCTCTTCCACACGTCCCACCCTGAAAAATACTTCCCAGAAGTTCCCCCACACTAGACACGTCAGTTTCCAAGTTGATGCCCAACCGAAGACATCTCCAGATATGTCCTTCCATAGAACAATTTTTCGCTACCCGAAGGCAGACTGGGACATTTTCAGATTTTACAGGTCTTTTCTAAACCTTTAAGCCTCAGTCAGTTATGTGCCATGCGTGATACACGCTTAGGCGATTATGTATCTTTTGAGACATGACTGACGAGGCAGATTTTTTTCCTGCACTAGGTTGCCATTTCTTTCTGCGGTGCCATCCAAGACTATAGAACAAGGCTATAGAATCCTGCATAGTTGGGGGGAGAAGAAGAAGATTCATACCTTTACCAAGAGTTTTAGCACGTAAGTGAGTGTAATGGATTTGACTGGAATTCGAACTCAGCTCTCCGATTCCTCAATCCCAGCCGCTATCCATTATTCCACCATGCCTCCCGATATAACAAGCATACAGTCATAGTTCACCGTAATATCTATCAAAAGGAGCTGTGTAGTTGGACACAATAACCGTAAGAAAGTTCTAGAAAATGCGAAATGTTGCTATGCACAAACGGTTTAGGCCATATTTTGAAAACAAACTAATTGGATACTGGGAGTTTTGGAAAATCGCCAGCCAAATTCTGAATAAAGACAAAGCTTCTGAGCCCACTAATATAAATGACCTGAAGATAAGGCGAAAATAAGTAACATTGTACTGTATTTTAAGACATTTTTATGTTTTTACATTCTTTTTATAGATAAAAATATTTCAGTAAATGCTGTTTTATAATAAACAGTATTAATAACATTTACCGGCCTGAATGTCCGAGAAATTTTCATACAAAATATTCGTTCTCCGTCACTTAGCCTGACGTGCATTTAACCGATCGAGTCACAGAGAATTGTTCGATTAGCAAGGTCGATTTTACTGTTTTTAAACTGCAGTTTTCCATGATTTTCTCACGTACATTCATATCTGCTCAAAGCGTATCCAAATGTAAACAAATGGCGTCACACATTATGAAATGGACAAAGTCTGACCATTATTTTAAGACATTTTTATGTTTATACATTCTTTTTATAGATACAAATATTTAAGTAAATGCTCTGTTTTATAATATGTATAAACATAAAAATGTCTTAAAATAATTGTCGGACTTTGTTCATTTCATAATGTGTATTGTACTGTATGTAAAGCTTAATGTTTAATATTATTATAAGATAAGCTTATTTAATAATGATATTAAACGTTAACTGTATATACAGTATAAGGTTAATTCCTTGAGACAAAGAGATTACTTGTAAACCACCGCACAACACATGGAAATATATACCATATAAGTTTATACAAAGATTGTATATTTTGAATTCATACTCCAATATTATATTAAATTTATAATAAGCTTCAACTTTGAATTTAGATATAATATAGCGTTCCTCTCATGAAACCCAGGATTAAAAAAAAACAACAAAAACCGTATTAAATAGTTTATTTACCATTGGTGCCTAATGAACTGGGTAACTATGAAACTCTGAGTTACAATACAAACGTAAGTATATGTGTATTTATCAATATATATATATATATATATATACTTAAAAATATTCGGTCTGATGAGCGTCCTGGGCATGACGATAAACTGCATCCGCGTCCAGGGTAAGACAATAAACTAAGTCCAACAGCAAGGAAGATTTGAGGAGCGTGGAACCACCTCTTAATTGCTGGTGTTCCCAGGTCTACCCTGACCTGGGGTGGTAGCACCTGTTAGGGTCCCAGCTATAGGCAAATAGTTAACCCCGAAACTGAGGTAAGAAGCATTATAAAAGTGTAAAATAGGTTTTAATAGCAGAAATACTTTGTAAAAAATTATTAGCAGAAATAAATTGTTGAAGAAACAAAAATATTACCAGCAATACGTTTTTGAAAAATATTACCAGCGATACGTTTTTGAAAAAAATAATATTACCAGCTATATATATTTGAGGAAAAAAATATTAACAGAAATAGATTGACAAAACAAAAATATTATCAGCAAAAAAAAAAAGTTGTCGGCATTACATGACCCATTGAGGTTGATATGCCGTAAAACAAAACAAACCAAACCCATATGTACTGAGATAGATAGATAGAGAGATAGATAGATAGATAGATAGATAGAGACAAAGATAGATAGATAGATATGAAGAGTCGGCATTAAATAACCCATTGAGGTTGATATGCCGTAAAACAAAACAAACCAAAAAAATGTACTGAGATAGATAGATAGATTCATAGATAGATAGATAGAGACAAAGATAGATGATAGATAGATAGATATGAAGAGTTTTCATTAAATAACCCATTGAAGTTGATATGCCGTAAAAACAAAACAAACCAAACCCATATGTACTGTGTGATAGATAGATAGATAGATAGATAGATAGATAGATAGATAGATGAATAGATAGAGACAAGATAGATAGATAGATATGAAGAGTCGGCATTAAATAATGTCCATTGAGGTTGATATGCCAAAAACAAAACCAAACCAAACCCATATGTACTGAGATAGATAGATAGATAGATAGATAGATAGAGAGACAAAGATAGATAGATAGATATGAAGAGTTGCTTAAATTTTCCATTGAGGTTGATATGCCTTGTTTCATAACCAAACCAAACCCATATGTACTGAGATAGATAGATGATAGATAGATAGATAGATAGATAGATAGATGATAGATAGAGACAAAGATAGATAAACGATAGATATGAAGAGACGGCATTAAATAACCCATTGAGGTTGATATGCAAACAAAACAAACCAAACCCATATGTATTGTGAGATAGATAGATAGATAGATGGATAGATAGATAGATAGATAGATAGAATCCTATAGATGAGAGACAAAGATAGATAGATTAATATGAAGAGCAAACCAACCACGTGTTAAATAACCCATTGAGGTTGATATGCCGTAAAACAAACCAAACCAAACCCATATGTACTGAGATAGATAGATAGATAGATAGATAGATACAGATAGATAGATAGATAGATAGATAGATGATAGATAGAGACAAAGATAGATAGATAGATCTTCCGAAGAGTCGGTTTTAAATAACCCATTGAGGGATTGATATGCCGTAAAAACAAACCAAACCAAACCCATATTTCATTTTCTGAGATAGATAGATAGATTTCTGTGATAGATAGATAGATAGATAGATAGATAGATAGAGACAAAGATAGATAGATAGATATGAAGAGTCGGCGTTAAATAACCCATTGAGGTTTATCTGCTGTAAAACAAACCAAACCAAACCCATAACCCTGATATATATATATAGATAATAATATATACATATATATGATAGATAGATAAATAGATAGATACAAAGATAGATGTATAGATATGAAGAGTCGGCATTAAATAACCCATTGAGGTTGATATGCCTTTTAACAAACAAACCAAACCCATATGTACTGAGATATATAGATAGATAGATAGATAGATAGATAGAGACAAAGATAGATATACATAGATATGAAGTCGGCATTAAATAACCCATTGAGGTTGATATGCTTTAAAACAAATGGTTGAAACCCATATGTACTGAGATAGATAGATAGATAGATAGATAGATAGATAGAGACAAAGATAGATGGATGAATGTGAAGAGACGGCATTAAATAACCCATTGAGGTTGATATGCCGTAAAACAAACCAAACCAAACCCATATGTACTGAGATAGATAGATTTTAGATAGATAGATAGATAGATAGATAGATAGATGAGACAAAGATAGATGAATAGATATGAAGAGTCGGCATTAAATAACCCATTGAGGTTGATATGCCGTCAAACAAACCAAACCAAACCCATATGTACTGAGATAGATGGATAGATAGATGGATTTCTAGATAGATAGATAGATAG